CTTTTCTATTTCTCGATTTTTCGACTTTTAGATTTTTCGATTGTTCAGCATTTTGTTTTTTCCCATTTCTCAATTTATCGATTTTTTGATTTTCAGATTTTCAATTCTTCAACTTTTAGATTTTCCAGATTTCTGATTTTAAATTTTGTCGAGATTTTTCGACTTTTCGATTTCTCGATTTTTCGACTTTTGTTCAACATTTCGATGCTCGCATTTCTCGATTTTCTGATTTTTCGATTTTCAGATTTTCAATTCTTCAACTTTTCGATTTTCCAGTTTTCTGATTTTAAATTCTTCGAGATTTTTCGACTCTTCGATTCTCGATCAATTTTTCCGTTTTTCAATGTCCTGATTTCATAATTTTTCTTTTTCCGATGTGAAAATTTTCATATTTCGGATTTTACAGTTTTTTAATTTTAATTTTAATTTGCGATTTTTCGGTTTTCAATTTTTCAGTTTTTCGATTTTTTCAATATTTCAGTTTTTGTCATTTCTAAATTTTCTATTTTTTGATCAATATATTTTTCGATTTTTTTATTTTTCGACTTTTCTAATTTTCGATTTTTCGATTTTTAGATTTTTCGAATTTCCATTTTTTCGATTTTTCAGATTACTGATTTTGAATTTTCAAGATTTTTCGACTTTTTTATTCCTCGATCTTCCATTTTTCGATATCTCAGTTTTTCGCTCTTTTAGTATTGAGATATTTCTGTTTTCCATTCTTCAATTTTTCTTCGATTTTTGAGTTTTTCATATCTTCAATTTCTCGTTTCGGTTTTCTTTTGTCAATGTGAAATTTTTCAACTTTTGGATTATTCAATTTTAAATTTTGAATTTTTTGTTTCTTCAATTTTAGATTTTTCAGTCTTTCGTTTCTTTAATTTTTCATTTTTTCAAATTTTCGATTTGCAATGTTTCAATCTTCCGATTTTATGATTTTTTATTTTTCCAATTTTAAAATTTTTCAATTTTTCATTTCTTCAAATTTTAGATTGCAATTTCATAATTTTTTTAATTTTACGTTATGCAACTCTGAGTTTTCGTTTTAAAATTTTTCAGGTTTTCGATTTTCCGTTCAAAACATCAAAATTGAGAAATCGAAAAACTGCAAAAAATTTGGAAAACCGAAAATCGACAATCAAAATTCGAAAAATTGAAAAACAGAAAAATCGAAGTCTGAAATATCGAGAAATTAAAATACATATTGAGAAATTCAAGAATCGTTCAGAAACCCTGAAATCGAAACATCAAAAAATCGAAAAACTGAAAAATCGAAAAATTAATAAACATTATTATTATTATTATTATTATTATGGGATAAAAAAACGAAAAATCGCAATTTTAAAAACGACAAAAATTGAAAAACGTGAAAAACTGAAATATCGGAAAATTGAGAAATCGAGAAATCCAAAAATCTAAAATTTAAAATGTTGAAAAATTAAAAAATCGAAAAAGAGAAAAATCGAGAGATTGAAACATCAAAAAAATGGAAAAATTTAAGATCCAAAATCTAACATTGCAAAATCACAAAACCGAAAGATCGAGAAATCCAGAAACCAAAAAATTGGAAGTCGAAAATCTAAAATTCGAAAAAATGAAAAACAGAAAAATCGGAGAATTGAAACATCGAAAAATTAAAACATTAAGAGAAGTTGAAGATTCAAAAAATTATAAAATGCAGGACTCAAAACATGAAAATCGAGAAATCGAAATGTCAAAAAATCAATGGTTTTCGAATCAGCTCGTCGATCTCTACATTCCAGATTTTTTTGCGGAGTTATAGACAACTTTTCAAAAATTTCAATTTTTCGATAACCAATTGTCAAATTTTTTACTTTTTTGCCAGCACCCCTTCCAAAATTACTAAAAGACATTCTCTTGGAGATTTCTACTTATTTTAGACTTCAAATTTTCTGAAAATTCCAGCAATTTCCCCAGAATCTTTAGTTTAAAAATACATACCTACTACAATTTTGAGACATTTCAAAAATTTCATTTTCAAGTCGAATTTTTAAGAAAACATTGGACCAGATTCATTATAAGTTTCTGATTTTCGAGTCAGCTCGTCAAGATCTATATCCCAATTTTTTTTGTGAATTTTTAGGCAACTTTTCAAAAATTTTAATTTTTCGATAACCAATTGTCACTTTTTTTTTTCTTTTTTGCCAGCACCCCTTCAAAAATTACCTAAAGACATTTTCTTGTAGATTTCGTCAGGAAAAAGTTATTTTCGGTTTTAATTTTTCTAAAATTCCAACAAATTTTCCCAAATCGATTAATGACTTATAGCGTTTTCTGAGATTCTTCAAAAAATTTAATTTTATATTGAAAATGTAAGAAAACATTTGTCCGGCAGATTTAAAACGTTATGTTTTCAAATTAGCTCGTCGAAATCTACAGTCTAGATTTTTTGTAGATATATTTTTAGACAATTTTTCAAAAGTCTCAACTTTTTCCGTATCAAATTTTTTTCCGAGTCCTCTTCGAAAATTACCAAAAGACATTCTCTTGGAGATTTCGACTTATTTTAGACTCTAAATGTTCCGAAAATTCCAGCAATTTCCCTAGAATCTTTACATTAAAAATACATACTACATTTTTGAGACATTTCAAAAATTTCATTTTCAAATCAAATTTTTAAGAAAACCTTGGACCGGATTCATTGTAAGTTTATGATTTTCGAGTCAGCTCGTCAAGATCTATATCCCAATTTTTTTGTGGATTTTTTGACAACTTTTCAAAAATTTTAATTTTTCGATTACCAATTGTCATTTTTTTTTCTTTTTTGCCAGCACCCTTTGAAAAATTACCTAAAGACATTTTCTTGTAGATTTCGACCGGAAAAAGTTATTTTCGGTTTTAATTTTTCGAAAATTCCAACAATTTTCCCAAATCGATTAATGAATTAGGTATAGCATTTTCTGAGATTCTTCAACAAATTTAAATTTATATCGAAAATGTAAGAAAACATTTGTCCCGGACATTTAAAACGTTATGTTTTCAAATTAGCTCGTCGAAATCTATAGTCTATATTTTTTGTAGATTTTTAGACAATTTTTCAAAAGTCTCAAATTTTCCCGTATCAAATTTTTGACCGTTTTCCGAGTCACCTTCGAAAATTACCAAAAGGCATTATCTTCGAGATTTCGACTTATTTTAGATTCCAAATTTTCTGAAAATTCCAGCAATTTCCCCAGAATCTTTAGATTAAAAATACATATTATATTTTTGAGACATTTCAAAAATTTCGTTTTCAAATTGAATTTTTAAGAAAACCTTTTACCGTCCAGATCTATATCCCATTTTTCTTTCTTCAATTGTGATTTTTCAATTTTTCAATTTCTGAATTTTTCAATGTTTCAGTTTTGGATTTTTTCACTTTTCCGATTCTTCAATTTTCTTTCCATTTTTCAGTTTTTCAAGATTTCAGTTTTGAATTTTTTCACTTTTTCGATTTTTCAATTTTCCTTCCATTTTTCAGTTTTTCAGTATTTCAGTTCTGGGATTTTGCAGTCGAAAAATCAAAAGATTAAGGGAATAATTTTACAGCAAACACATTAATCCTTCTCACCGGGGGTATTAGAGGGTGAGCGACAACCATTACAGGTCCAAAAAAGCCCATTTAATGATTTTAACAAAATTAATTGTTTGTCAATTGCCACGCAATTACCATGAAAAATTGTCACGTTCACTAATACTGTCAAAATCAAGAAAATTGACATTAAAATCATGAATGAATGTAGCCACACACCGAGAAAACCCCACACTTGTCACACCGAAGTTCCAGTTTATCACTCATCCCACCGACTGCGCCATTTATTCGCACCCACACCAAACGACGTCAATTTCTCAGATTCGCGTCGTACTTCTTGCGAAACTTACCTCGAGCTCCAAATTGTTTAATCATTACGGAATTAGCTGCGGATAATTTAGGGATTTTTTGTTCGTGGAAGTAGTGAGGGCGCACCTAATTAGTTTACGTCGTTTAGGCTCCGGCTAAATGTGATTAACAATACCAACAGCAACCCGAAGTCGTTCCGACCGCAGCAAACTTCGCTCCACAGCACTATCTTAGCGAAAGGTGCACGCAGATGCTAAGTCATATATTAATGTTAAATTAAGACGAATGTGACGCGGGCTGCTGGAGGACGTCGAAGTTCGGAAACAATGCGAGCGGGAGCAAATTTTTAGGGGTGAGTAATGAATTTATGGGTGAGTGTTACTTGACGGAATTTGAGAAGGGGTAAAGTTTATTGCTTCGTCTAGCGGCTATCATTAAGAATCCAATTACTGCGAGCTTATTGCCGAAAAAATAATCCCACCGACTGCGCCGATCTAGCTATATCCCGGTTTTATGGTGGCCCTTTTCCGCGTTGTGTCCCTTTTCCTTATCGATAATTCTCAAAGTAAACGTACATCAAATTTCGAGCGCATGCAGCGTCTCAGGAGATTCACGTAACGTCTGTTTGATTATACCGACTTCGGTGACCGGTATCAGAGGTTTCGACTGAAATGGGCGGCCTGAAACCGAATATTTGATGAGCTGGACGGCAAAGTGAATATTGTCTAATATATTCATGGCGGCACGTCTAAATTGTATAATATTCATGCAAATCGCGAAATTTAAATGAGATTTCGCTACTTGGATCTCTGGAGTGCTAATTGAGAAAAATGAGGGGTTCGAATCTGTTGTTGTGAGTTCGCGTGGAAATCGGACATCTGGCGAATCAGGTGTGCCGCCGGCGGGTAATTAGTGCTTGCTATTCCAGTCCTTCGAGCCGGATCCGTCCGGAACAACCCTCCTCCGATAAGATCCCGGAGAAAGCAACAGTAAACAGATTTTTCAAAGTGGCTCGGCGGGCGCGTCTTTATGGGTTTTCTCTGTGGCGTTCCCTTACGTTCGAGAGATCGCTCTTCGAGCTAATAAATAAATTCAGACGTGAAATTTTAATGGTGCTGCGTTTTAATGAAGACTGAATTGATACGTTTCTTTGTTACAGAAAGCGAACACCAGCGAGATGCAGATACAGCTCTCGAAATTAGATTTTTCGGCGTCGGGATCATATTCCTGCTTGGTTTCTATGGAAACGCCGATTTTTACAAAGGATTCGAAGACCAAGGATCTTACGGTTATAGGTGAGTGTGGTCAGCGGTCTTGAGGGATTTGTTTTATGGAAAATGGGTCCCGGAATGGGGGTTCGGACATCTGGTACCGGTTTTAACACCGCTTTTATTAATGTTTATTGGTAAGATTATTCCGAGGTGACGGTGCGTAATCCCACCGACTGCGCCTATTTTGCAGCCGTTTAAGGGGACTCGCTAGACGAGGTATAACATTTTTTTGGTTTTTTGTATGAAAAAATGATATTAATATAGATACATCAAACTGCAGCTTTTTTCATATTCTAGAGCGCAAAGACCAGTTCAATCAACTAAAAAAATATAGCTGAGAAATATCGTAAAAAAAGCACCATTGTATGTTTTCTTTTCAAGTTTTTTGAGTCATAACCATCATAGAATCGCTTGAAAATTCGCACATGGATAAAACATCACTTTTTACAGGGCGCAGAGTCATTAAATGTTTGTTAGTGGTACAATTTGTTTCAATAATAATGTGTTTATTAAAATCAAAATATACCACTAATTAATGCAAAATACGTCGAATAATTTTAACAGGAATATCAGAGGAAAATTAATGATCTATTGGTTAGCAGAGTTTTTAACAAAATCTAACAATTATTGAAAAAAATGGGTATCAATTCGACAGAATTTGAGCAGTTAGTTCAGTACTTTGCCGATAGGAGCGCCACTAAAATTTGCGGAAGCGACTTTCCAGGTAAAACCCTTATCGCCTGCTCTACCATAAGCTGATTGTTAGAGGTCTCGGCTAATTTTTCTAATTTATGGCAAGGAACTCAGTTTTATAACAAGCCGCCAGGACCGGCCGTAGTAATCTATTGTTAAGGAAATTAACTTTTACGCAATGAGGTACTATCATAAAACCATTGTTTAAGTATATTAATAAAATCGAAAAATAAAAAAAATTGGACAATCGAAAATTTAAAAATTCCGAAAATTGAAAAATTGAAATATAGAAGAACTGAAAACTCAAAAAATCGAAAAAAATTAATAATTTAAAAATTGAAAAGTTAAAATTGAGAAATCGAAAAACTGAAAAATCACAAAATTGAACGAAATATCAAAAAATTAGGAAATCAAAAAATTGAGAAACAGAAAAGTCAAAAAAGCAGAGTCTAAAAATCGCAAACTTAAAAAATCGAAAAATTGAAAAATCAAAAACCTGAATAATCGACGAATTGAAGAACTGAAGAACTGAAAAATCGAAACTTTAGGAAGTGGAGAAATGGGAATATAAAAAAAATTGATTAATTGTGAAATCCGAAAACTAAAAATTCAGCAACGTCAAAATTTGAAAAATAAAAAAATATTGAAGAACTGAAAAAACGAAAAATCTAAAATTTAAAACATTGAAAAGTTAAAATATCCTAAAACTGAAAAATGGAGAAATCCAAACATCAAAAAATCAAAAAAAAATAAAAATAAAAATCTAAAATTTAATAATCGAAAAACTGAAAAATCAACGAATCGAGAAGTCGAGAATTTAAAAAATTGGACAATTGAAAAATCGGAGAAATCAAAAATCGAAACATCGAAAAATCGAGAAACCGAAAAGCAAAAAATCGAAAAATCGAAACATTGTAAAATTCAAAAATTGAGACATCGAGAAATCGAAAAATCAAAAGACAAAAAAAATCGATGAGTCGAAAAATCGAGAAGTCGAAAAATCAAAAAATTGAGAAACCGAAATAGGACAAAATCGAAAAATCGAAAACTTAAATATGGAAAAATTGATAAAGCCAGAGATTGAATAATCAAAACATGGAAACATCCGAATCTCAATGAATTGAGATCTCAAAAAATTTAAACATTCGTAAATTTAAAAAATTAAAATATAGAAATGGAAACTCGAGAAACTGAAAAATCTAGAAATTTAAAAATTAAAATATGAAAAAGTTGAAAAATTGAGAAATTGAAATAAAAAACAAAATACTGAAAATCCAAAAATAAAAAGTCGAAAAATGAAAGAATCGAAGTATTGAAAAATATCAAACCTGAAAGAAATATCCAAAAATTGAGAAATCGACAAACCGTCGAAAAATCTAAGAATTGAAGAACTGAAAAATCGAAACTTTGAGAAGTGGGAAAATCAAAAATACTTAGATTAATTGAGAAATCAGAAAACTGAAAATTTAACGCAAAAATTTGAAACATTCAAAAATTTAAATACTGAAGAACTGAAAAGTCAAAAAATCGAGAAATCGAAAAAACTAAAATTTAAAACAATGAATAATTAAAATATCGCAAAATTGAAGAATCGAGAAATCCAATTCAATTTGAAAAATTGAAAAATCGGGGCATTGAAAGATTAGAAAGTCCAGAAATAGAAGAGCTCAAAAGAAAAAAATCGAAAAACCGAGAAATCCAAAAATCGAAACAACGAAAAATTCAAAAACTGAGACTTCGAGAAATCGAAAAATCGGAGGATCGAGAAATTGAGGAGTCGGAAGCCGAAAAGGAAAGTTAAAAATTGAAAAATTGAGAAATTGAACAATCAAAACAACGAAACATCTGAATTCGATAAATTGAGAAATTAAAAAATTGAATAATCGAAAAATTTTAAAAAAGAAAAACTGGAAAATCAAAAATTAAAATTCAAAAAATCGAAAAATTGAAATATAGAAGAACTGAAAACTCGAGATATCGAAAAACCTAGAATTTTAAAAAATGAAATATTAAAACATCGAAAATTTTAAAAATTGAGAAATCGAAGCATTAAACAGTCCCAGAATTGAAAAATCTAAAGTTTACAATAAATTGAAAATCCAAAAAGGAAAAAAACGAGAAATCAAAAAAAATCCGTCAATTCAAAAATCGAAAAGTCGAAAAATTGAAATATTGAAAAATCTCATAACTGAAAGAAATATTCAAAAAATTGAGAAATTAAAAAATTGGAGAATTGAGAAATCGAAAATCTAAAAAAGCAAAATTGAAAAATCGTAATCTTAAAAAATCGAAAAATTGAAGAATTGAAGATGTGAAAAATCGAAACTTTAGGAAATCCAGAAATGGACAAATAAAAAAAATACTAAAAATTTGAAAAATTGAAAAATCGAAATATTTAAAAACCGTAAAATTGAAGAGTACTAAAATTGAGAATCTAAATTTTACTTAAAATCTTGTTTTACTTTAATCTTGTAAAACTAAACAATTATACCAGTTTAAAAACCCTTGGAAAGTTTCTATCAGTCTTCAGATATAGTCAAATAAAAATAGGCGTCAAATTCATTTAAATTCAATTCTTTCGTATCACGTTACAACGCGTTGCTTCATATTTTTTATGTCAAGTATATTTTCATATTTTCATATTTTGTACATATATGTTTATACACGTTACTGTTTACGGAACAATGTTAATTATGGATAACTCCTCGTATAAGAGCAGAGTGAAGGGTGTTTGCCTTTGCTAATGTTTGATGGCGCCATCTGATTTAGAGTAAAATAAACCTAATACGTTGGCTCACTGTAGTGAAAATGCGCGTTGACGAAAAATTTGTCCCACGCCCCCTGGATTCCTTGTCCTAAAGCTCACTATTTAGGCGAAGTAAAATTTGTATTAGGTTGTCCAACTATAATATACTTAAACAATGATAAAACCGAATTAAAACTGGGGAACTATAATATTTTTACTCCACTCAGGATCCTGAATTCAATACACATGATTACTAAAAATTCATTGTAATATTATTGTTAATATATATTTTGCTTTGTTAATTAATAAAACTAATAAACATATTTATAATAATAATAAAAAATATATAAAATACAGCTTTTGTTTAACACGTATAAGTAGCTAAGTGTATCTACTACTTATCCCAGAAAGGCCTACGCCCAGTAACTTCTCCCTTCATTCTTTACTCGAAAAAAGTGCTCGTATATGTTTTTATTTGCAGAGAGATAATTTTCAAAATGTATTTATAATAAAAATATGCAAGTCTTGGTGATGAAAAATGTACTCCTAATAAATTATTAAAGTACATAAAAAATAGAAACAATTTTTATTTATTTAAAAAAAATCTCTCGCAAAGGCAGGTTCCTCTTTCTTCTTGAAACAACTATTTCGGGCAATAATACGCCAAAGTAAAGTTTATCTGCCATCTTTTTATATATTTTTCTTCGTCTTTATAAATTTCTTCTATATTTATTCCTTTGGGTGTCCATACAACAAAATAAACTTGTGAAATACCCGTAACAAGCATTTGTTCCTGGACTTGAAAGTAGTAATCATGATTTTTTTTTTAGTTTCAATTCTCTGTCTGTCAAAGTACAAAATTTGATTATTTTTTTTCTAACCGCTTCTTCGGGAGACAAATCTTGCGATTTTGAAGGGCATTTAATTTCGACTAATGCACTCCTATCATCTAGAACCCTGTCTGGACTAGCAGCCAAGTAAGGAAATTGTTTTGAAATAAACAAGCCACACCGTTCAGTTTTTATATTTTTATTTATTTCAAAACACTTGACAGCTTTTTCCTCACTTTGTTGTCCATAGTATGTATGACTGTTACCTCTAAATGTACTGTACAACAAGGACTCCACAGTTTTAGCTATTTCTGTAGTCGGTCTAAGTTTGTAAATACGTCCAAAATTTGAAGCCGTAACCCTAATTTCTCTTTCTTTTGCCCAAATGTGCCTGTTGCCTAGTGTCTATTTCAATTTGGTCTAAATTCAAAGGTAATTTTCTCAAAAAAACCTCTTTGGCTGTCACAAATGTTTCTACATCCATGACAGGATTTTCTAAAAAATATTTAAACCATAATCGCAGTCGGGACCAGCATACGTAAATTTTTTTACGACAGATTTTTCAATTTTTTGATTTTTCGACTTTTCTATTTCTCCATTTTTCAACTTTTAGATTTTTCGATTGTTCGACATTTTGATTTGCCCATTTGTCGATTTTTCGATTTTTGAATTTTCAATTATTCAACTTTTTGATTTTCCATTTTCTTCGATTTTCTAGATTTTTCATTTTAATTTTTTCGAGATTTTTCCAATTT